AAATAGTCATTTTAGAAATAATAGGGCTGCAATTAAAAATTATGGAAAGAATCACGATATGTTAACAACTAAAATTTGACAATAATTTAACAACAGTCACGTGTTAGCTTCTTATTGGACCGTAAGATATATTTTTTTTTTTTGCAGTGGCGGTGGTGAAAAGAGAGCATATTTACCTTTTTGAGATTCCGAAATTACCCCTCTGTGCACCCTTCATTTTCAACTCATATTTCATTCTCTCTCCCTCTTCATTTATGTCCTCTCTCCAGCCTCCATCAAAACTGTACTTTGCCCAACTCATTGTGGAGACCCCATGTGGGTGTTTCAGCAAGGTAGTTCAAGTGCTTCAGCATTTGAAACCAAGAGATGCTCTAGTAATTGATTACATGGTGCCTGCAACCGATTACTAATGGCTTAATAGGTACCCCAATTGGGAGAACGTGACCCCATGGAGATTTTTTTGTGCTTAAGGCTGCCTTTGTCCATTGTTTTCAATGGATGACTCATGTTGGTCATGGTTGATGGTTGCAAGTGCATCAAAACTCATCTTTGTCCAGCCTATTATGGAGCAAAGACCCCATGTGAGTGTTTCAGCAATGTAGTTAAAGTCCCTCAGCACTTGAAGCCGATACATGCCTTGGTAATTGATTACATGGTGTCTGTAATCGATTACCAGTGTCTGTAATCGATTACCAGTGGCTTAATGGCTATTTGTACAAAAACTTGCAAGTCACTCCCCAATTGGGAGAACGTGACTCCCCATGGTGATTTTTCTGTGCTTAAGGCTGTCTTTGTCCCTTTTTTTCAATGGATGACTCATGTTGGCCATGGTTGATGGTTGCAAGTTTATAAAGAAATAAAATAAAATAGAATAAAATAAGAAACATGAAACAATAACTTGGAAGTAAACTCATTTAGGAAGCTTAAAAAAACGTTGTTTTTGGGAAATTAACTACATCTAGTAGAGTGGTCTAAAAAGTATGAGTTAATAGGCATTTGAAAGATCTTTAGGTCTAGATTCCAACAAAACAAGAATCAACTCATTTGGAGTTCGGTGGAGAAAGATATAAGAAAAAAAACAAACAAAGGTAAGAATTGGCAAAAATATATAAAACGATAACTTAAAAAAATAAACTGTAACAACTCAGATGTCCAAAAATTACAAATTAGTAGTCATTGAAAAGATTTTTGAGTCTATTTTCTAATAAAAAATGAATCAACTCAATTGGAGTTCGGTGGAGAATGTTAAAAGCAAAACAACCAGCAAAGGTCAGAGGTGGTAGGAATATATAAAATGTTAACTTTAAGGAATTAACTGTACCTACTCAGAAGTCCAAAAAATTACAAATTAATAGTCATTGGAAAGATGTTTGAGTCTAGTTTCTAATAAAAAAAGAATCACATCATTTGGAGGTATGTGGAAAAAGTTATGATTAAAATAATCAGCAAAAGTCAAAGTTGACAACATGCTATCTTATACGTATATCTTTCCCTCTTGTTCACAGATCTATTACTTATTGAAAATTCCTTTTTAAATTTTGTGCACTGTAACAACATTAGATGGCATACCAGGACATGAGTTGTGCAAAAATGGTCATGAACTTGAACTACCTTGGTTCAAACACCTATAGGAGTTTTGTCCTTCACAATTGAGTGGGGAAAATTGTGTTTTGATACACTTGAAACCCTCAATGATGAGCAAGATGTATTTCATCCACAATTGAGTGGGCCAAACTGTGTTTTGATATACTTGACACCATCAATGATGAGCAACGTGAGTCATCCATGCAAAAAAATAGAAAAAATCACTTATAGGGACACAAAAATGACTTTGGGTAGTCAAGTTCTCCCAACTGGGGAGTAACGTGTAAATTTTCGTACAAATCAGCAATCAGCCCCTGTTTATCGATTACAGGGACCCTGTAATCGATTACCAGTTCGGAGAACTTGACTCCAAGGTCATTTTTTTGTTCCTATGGGTGATTTTTTCCAATTTTTTCATGGATACCTCTTGTTTCTTATCATTGATGGTGTCAAGTATATCAAAACACAATTTTCCCTACTCAATTGGGAACGAAACAATGCATATAGGTGTTTGAACCAAGGTAGGTGAAGTCTCTGACCATTTAGGAAGCTTACAAAAACATTGTTTTTGGGAAATTAACTGCACCTAGTACAGTGGTATAAAAATTATGAGTTAGTAGTCATTTGAAAGCTCTTTGAGTCTAGATTCCAACAAAAAAAGAATCAACTCATTTGGGGTTCGGTGGAGAAAGTTAAGAGCAAAACAACCAACAAAGGTGAGAGTTGACCAAAATATGTAAAACGTATTAACTGTACCTAAGATGTCCAAAAATTACAAATTAGTAGTCATTGGAAAGCTTTTTGAGTCTAGTTTCTAATAAAAAAATGACATCATTTGGAGGTCTGTGAAAAAAGTTATGATTAAAATAGTCAGCAAAGGTCAAAGTTGAGAGCACGTTCTCTTATAGGTATATATTTCCCTCTTGTTCACATATATATTACTTATTGAATTTTTCTTTTAAATTTTGTGCACTGTAACAACATTAGATGACATGTTTCTTAATTAATAAAATAAAAAAATTTCCTGTGACACTCCGAGGAGGGGTGTTACAACAATGGTCATGCACCTCACCTTAGTTGGAGAAAACCACCTAAATAGACATTTGTTTTTGATGAAATAAATGGCCTAATATCATCATTGATGCAAGGAACATACCTAATAGCATTGAACTCACTCACCCATCTCAAAAAAATGGAAAAATTCAACAAAAACATAGCAAAAACCATCATGGGGAGTGTTGTTGTTCCATCCAGGGAGTCATATTGAACTTTCTGTACAATTGTCCCTGTAATCGATTATGAGGGCATGACATGGGCACCAATAGTCATGGACTTCACCTAACTTGGTGCAAACCACCTAAATAGGCATTTTCTCAACAATTGAATGACTTATGTTGTTCATTAATTAAGTAAACACCACCCATGACCAATAAACTCAATCATCCATCCGAAAAAGTGGAAAAGGTCACCCAAAAGCACAGACAAAATATATCAAAATTGAAATTTTATTCATATAATATCAGGTAAGTACATATTATCCAACATCTATAATAATAATCTTTTGTATACTAAAACATGTACAAGACTCATACAATGAAAATCTCTATACATGTAATTGACATAAATTGAAAACCTATAATAATCCTAAGTAGTGCAACACTTGTTTTCTTCGCACTTTCTCATGGTGCTACCAACCTTGACACATTGGGGGAGGTCAAAATCGCAATAGGGAGAGGAGAAAATTGCTCCAACGAAAAGAGAGAGAGAGTAGGAAGGGGGGAAATGACGGAAGAAAAGAGTGAGAACCGTGCTTATTGGAACAACTTTGCTGACGATGGAGAGATGAAGAGCAAGACGGAGAGAAAGAGAATTTAGTGAAGAGACTCGTGAGAGCAATGGTGGAGAGAGTAAGAGCGCGAAAGGAAAAAAGATAAAAAAAAGAGAGTTTTCTCAAATGAAATCACAAAACCCTTTTTCCTTTCCTAAAATGCCCACACATTATATGTTTTTTAAAAAAACTTTCAAAAATGACCACTCAATATGTGTCATGTGACGTTGTTAAAAAATTGGCAAAAATTGGTTGTTAAAGAAACGTTTTTCATATGGAAATTGAAGAAAAATAATTTTTTATTTTATTTATAACGTTCACACCTAACAAAAAGAAAAGAAGAAAACAAGATTACCCGACAGTGCGTTAAATCATCATAATACAAATCATAAGAAAGAAAAATCTTAATCAAAATGAAAACCAATTTAAAATTTGAAAAAGAGGGAAAGTATTGACGTATCATTTGTGTATGATGTCATATACAATAAAGAAAACCATTTATGTAATGTTTTTTATATATTTTTTATTTTATCTTTAATGTTATGGTGGTGCACGAGTTTTTGATGAAAAATCATTATTTTCTTTATTTACTACTTTTTAACAATAAATAAAACGAGAATGTGAAATTAACCCAACATATATAAAAAGAAAATTAAGAAACATGCAATTATTTAATAAATATAAAAAAATGTATATTTTTATTATTGTGAAAGATGTGGACTGTAGCACCTATATTTCCACCGGTAGTTGATAAAACATATATAATGTCAAATTAGTGAGGGAAAAAAATATAAACAATTGAAAACTATTTAATAAATCGCAGGAAAATAATGGTACCAGTGAACTTGTGGCGCAGATGAACCATTTTCGTCCTTATATTATCCATCCCTGAATCAACTGTATAATTCGGAACCAGTTATCGTCGAACCATCTGCGAAGGTATGTATGTTCCAATGCGATTAACTTTTCGTGCTATGTTTCCAATTTGATTATTGCTTCTGAGAATGTTAGTGTTTGTAATTTTAGTTTTATCTTTATTTCATTCATTTTCTTTTTCAATTGTTAAGTTCGTTGTATGGCTTGTTACGCATCTTTTTTGCATTTTGTGATTGTGGTGTTATGAATTAGCATATTGCTATTTGGTTGGAATTGAACTATTCTGTGTGTTTAGAAAGAGGGACTTAGGTTAGGATTTGGATTTGGGTTTCTCCAAAGTATGATTGTGATTCTGTCTCACTCACCTTATTATTTTTGTTCTTATTATAGGAATTTTATGGAGCTAGCTTTTGAACCTCTGTTCTGACTTCTGAGTAATCGTGGGATGTTGCATTAGGCATAGTTTTTTCCCGTCTTTTTCATAGTAATGATTTATTAGGAGGAAAAGACGAGGATTATAAGCTATAACCTCGATTCCCCATTCAAGAAATCACTTATGTGCGTGAGAGTACTATGAGTTATCTCATGCCATCTGCCACCCTTAAAAATGGCTAACTTTGCCTACTCAAACCAGTTTTGTTAAATTCTGATGTAAATGCTTATATTGGTCTGATATTTTCTTTTTTATGCCAACCTTCAGTTAAAATTTTTTTTAATACTGAATGGTGGTCTCTATGTTGACAAGTTATTTTTGAAGAAAGTGTTCACTAATAATATAAAGCAGTAGCCTCTGTTGATTGAATAGTACCATGTTGAGTTGGGGGAGTTGAAACAGAACGAAAGAAACTAGGAAAATTTTGTCTGAGAATCATGATATGTTATGTAAAAAAGTTATCTACATTATACTAACTTCTTTTGTAAAACCAAAAGTCTAGGTAGTGTTGCCTTGGAGATGAGAAAAGCAGCATAAATATGTAAGCCAAGAAACTGTTCCCTTGATTTATATCAGACTGCTTAGAAGATTCAGTGGAATAAGTCAACTAAGCATCTTGCCAGAAGCATAGACTGTGTGGTTAATGCTTGTTGCTCAGTTTAGCAACGAGAGGTAGTAGAAGGTGTCACTTACAATACGAGTTGTATGTAATGACTTTGGAACCAGAAGCTACAGTATTGTACTGAAATTGGCTAGTGGACTTACTGACTGCGATATTAAACTGTATGAGAAGCTTTTTCCAGCAGACAGATTCAATTGTTGGGTCAAGGAGAGGAATAGTTGGTTTTAACATTTTATGCATGGTTGACACTGTCCATACAAGGTCACACTCGTATCAACTATATTTATAACTAAAGAGATCAAGTTCCACGGTTGAGGCAATGCGGTATCATGTGTTTCTTCAGTACCATGTCTTTCACAAACCAATGTGAGATGATTTTGGATGTTCTATGTTGTTGTATGTTACTTAAACTTTGTAAAATTATTAAATTTGTGATTATTAACTTCTCTACATTTGATACTGTAATTTCAAATATGCATCTATAAGTAATTTCATCAAACATAAGCTTTTGTTAAAAAATCTCCTAGCATAACTTATCATTTACGTACTCATGCAAGAGTACATCCAAGCACAAAACAACTTGTTGAGAACTAGCTTTTGACATTCATGCTTTTATGATAAGCACGTTTCCTGTATGTACTTGACTGAAACAATTCATTCAAAACAGGACCAAAGAAATTTTAGTGTTGCTTGCTGCTCCTGTTCTTCACAAGCTTTATTTATGACCACATGCCAACTAAACATGTCGATTTCAGTGTTTAATAACTGCACTATACATCACCTCAGCTAGTTACACTCAAATACCTTGTAGAACTAATTTTTCAAAAATCTTCATTCAGGTTAATTTGTCATGGGAAACAAATTTGTCAGGGGAGACAAACAGGCGAAGCAAGAAAAGAATGACATAATATTACTCAAAATTGTTCCTCCTGTGGACCAGACATATGTTAAATGGCTTGCCAAAGACCTTGCAAGAATTCACAGCTTTACTCCCAAACGTGCTCGCCCAGTGCAGCCGCCAGATCATTATGTAGAATATATGAAGTTGAATGGATGGTTGGATGTGGATTTGGATGATCCTGATCTTGCTCATTTGTTCAAGTAGACGATTTCTGTATGACAGACAATTAGCATGATTTTATAGCTGCATTAAGATAACATTAAATTGTTCAGTGAGCAAGAGATATGGTAGGCATGTTGTGGCTTTTGTTTGACTAAGAAATTCTTGTAGATGGTTGTATTCTGAAAAACTAGTGTTGATCACAACTCACCAGTGGGCGAAGAAACATGCTATATTTTATACAATAGAATTTTTTGTTCAACCATGTTCTATTGTTCTTAATATCATGTGTGCTGGCAATGTGGTTTGACACATTAGGAAGTTTATCAACATTTGTAATAGCGATGTAATGATGAGAACATTCTCTTTTTGACTTTGTTCTTAAAATTTTGCCAATGAATTGCAAGGATAGGATTTGGTGTACAATTTCGTAGTCATCACCTCACGTCTATGGGAGATATCACAATCAAGTGTAGGCGAGAGCAAAATAAAATAAAACACGAAATACAATTAAACGTTAAAAACGATACACATGTCTTGTATATGTAGCATTAATCAAAATCCAAACTGAAATATGTGCTCATCGTTCCAATTGGTTTCACAAGCCTCCCTAGATTGAATAGATAAGATCGAAAACAATTAATTGAGAGTGGTCTTCCTTGAACTTACTCAACTACTCAATAAAGGTTTCATTAAATGGTGTAAGAAATCATGTGCTATTCAAATAATATCACGTTAACATGGTACGATATTTGTTATATTCACATATAATATTTGGTGCTTCTAATCAAAGTGAGTGTACTATCCTGGATACTTTCATAAAAAAAAATATTGTTCTCATTAATCATGTAAGCAATTCTTTAATTTTCAATTGAATGAAAAACACACACAAGATTTTGAATTTTCATGATACTCACTATTCTCTCATACGCAGTGGAAAAGAACTTACCTGGATCCACGTTCTCCCTTCTCTTACTTCACTTTAATACTTTCTTGATGATATAGAAAAATTGAGGGATGTCACAGTTTCTTTTCTTTTTCAGAGAACGTAACCTTTCTTTCTCTCTTTTCAAAAACAACTGTAGTCTCATCTTTTCCCTCTTTTATGATATTTAATTAACTTTAATAAAATACCAAAATGCCTTTTATTGAAGTGAGAAGAGAGGGATTAATTGTAATAACTCTAAAATAATCCCAATAACTTTAATACATTATATTCTAATAATCATCACATTAGAATCTGTACATCAAAGTTATACTTTAAATTACATGAACCAATCTTAAATATTAATATAATTTAACAAATTAAACCAATATTTTGAAAGTTTATTAAATAAGAGTGAGCTTATTAATAAAATGGAAGGATGTGAAAATGGTTATTAAGTAAATCAATAATTTGAAATTTAATTTGTTAGTTCGCTTTTGTCCATCCTGTCTAACCCCTTGGTGGGTTATCAAGATATCATACTTGCTTAATTTTTTAAATTAAAAATTAAAATAAAAAATAATTTAAAAGGTTAATATTTTTGTATTATATTATTTCAAATATGTAAATATATAATAAATTTTGTATATTTTAATAAAGTTTATATTTGATCCTGACTTGTGCGTGGATATTTTATTTTCAAATAATCAGTTTGTAATAAGAAATTTACTAATTTTTGTTGATATCGAAATTTGGTTTCGAATTTTCTATGTGTATGTTTTATAGAAAGTAAACAGTGTAACACCTATTTCGGGGTGTTACAATTTACACCAAAATTTTTTTGGAATTGCAAGTAACCAACTATAAGCATTAGTATTAATATTCTTCACGAATGAAGCTTATGCGTTTCTTTCAATAATCTCGTTGAAGACTTCTTTCACGACAACCAAAATAAGCACCACAACCACACGAAACACTGCAACCAGCGAAGCATCCCAACCACACAATGCACCACAACCACACTAAGCACCCCAACCACAATTTGATGGAAGAAAATAATCCTAATCGCGATTTCATTAATTGGATTGAAGATTTTGTAAAGAACCCTAATTTTCCTTGCCGTGAATAATCCCTAATCTATGGGTGAACAAAATTTTCAATTTTTAAGTGTACACATGGCATGAAATGTGGCACACCGTTAGCCAGATCACTCAAAAATTAATGTCGTTAGTGTTCGAGAACTAAATCTGACAATTTCATTAAAGAGAAAGATGAAAATGAAGCAAAATTTGGAAGATAGACTAAACTAAAAAATGTTTGATAGTTAAGAGACTAAAAACATATTTAATCCAAATTATAAAATTGAAATATTTTATTTGAATATTACATTATGGAATGAAAAATAATAAAAATTGTGTATAATTATATGGCTTTATATTCGAAATATAAAAAAGAATTATTAGTTAAAGTATGTAATAAAGATATATAAATCATAAATATTTTTTATGTAACTGAAGAAATAAATGAAGTAATTGAAATAAAATATTTAATAAATGAATTTATCATCTCAAGTTTTAATACTCATCTGGCACAACAAAAGTGCAATTAATAAGTACAACAATTAGACATAGATAATAAATATTTTTATATATAAATTAAACATTTGAAAACTAATAATAACTTGATTTTTATACATCAAGATGGGTAAAATCCCATCTCAATATATTCACTACTTTTTAAAAATTCAATTTAAATTTGTTTAATCATTACCATTTCAGGACTAAATAGATTTTGCTATGTTTAATAATTACATAAAGTTCAACGTGACTCCCTAACTGCAATCCATGATGGTTTTTGATATGTTTTTGTAAAAAAATTTAATTTTTTTATATAAGTGAGTCAGTTCAATGTTATTAGGTGTGTTCCTTGCACCAATGATGATGTTAGGCCATTGATATCTTCAAAAAAATTTCCATTGTGTAAATTATTGCACAATATGCTATCTTGGTAATTTAAAATGGAATTTGTGCTATGTCAGAAAAAAAAAATTATGTACGTCCTTATGTATGTCTTTGATTTTAAGGTTTGGTATCAGTAACATATCTAAAACATCTCCATTTCCATACTTTTGGTTATCCTTATGTATGTCTTTGATTAAAACTTTTTGTATCAATAACATATGTAAGACATGTCCATTTCAGTAACCAGAATTCAATCACTCAGTCATAAACACATAATCCTGAATTTATCATTTATTCAACATCCATAATTCTAAAAGAAGTTTTCAATTCATTAAAACAAAACAAAGGTACAACACATCATCCAATTCTGATCAACATTGAAACTAAAATTATGTTTATTACACATAAAACAAAAACCACTCATATCAACACCTTTATCCACTTTTGAACAATCATGACAAATTTCTCTAAATTAACTATCATTTTCCTATCAGCCTCCCTTTCTTCACTGTTCACCAAAGTATCTTTCTTTCCTTCGCACTTGAAGTAGGTACCCCTTTCGTTAAACCCAACATCAATGGACCATCTAAAGTAGTTGCAACCAACGTCTTGAGTACCATTATGTAAATACAACAATCAAACACAATAGAGTCTTCTAAAAAACAGTACCACAAATTACATTGATGAAATGTATCTTACCTTATACTTAAAGCATCCCTAAAATTGTTTGTCTCAATTCTTCATCGTTTTAGCAATTCTCAACACACATTTCTATCCATAGTGGCAAATTGGTGAAACATCCAAACTCCTAGATCCTCCACCATCACGAAAGCAGACATTTGGGTTTTCCTTCCGCAACACATTATATGTCAAAGAATAACATGAATGGTCGTTTGACATCCTGTTTGAAGAAGAAGAAATACATTCACTACCTAGCCACCCGCATCGCACAAGAACAACTTAGGCACCTGTTTTAATTAGGGATTTTTGAATGTTCATATTTTAGGGATTTAATGAAATCTCATTTCTTTTTCATTTTGAAATTACACATCCATGTAATGCGACCTTCAATGTGCCACATGGTTAACATTTGCAAACTTAGCATGCCACGTGACTGAAAATTTAACGCCATTTATTCAAATTAATTGCAAGGGTTCAATTGAATCAATTTTGCATAAATAGAGACTTAATTGAGTTAAAAATTAACTAAAGAACCAAGACAAATCTGCATAAAAAAGACTTAAAAATGATTAAAAATACATATTAATTACTAATAATGAAATAATAAATATTAAAAGAAAATTATTAAAATTTAATTACTAAATAATAAATATTAAATATACCACATACTGAATGTTAATTGCTAAATCTTTAATAGTAAAAGTTGCATTTATTATATATTAAATTTGTAAAACTGAATTTAAAAGTACGAAATATTCTATTTGAATATTACATTATGGAAAGAAAAATAATAAAAATTGTGGTGATAAATATATTTATTAGATAATTTTCATTTTAATTATACGAGTGTATAATTATATGGCTTTATATTCGAAATATAAAAAAGAATTATTAGTTAAAGTATGTAATAAAGATATATAAATCATAAATATTTTCTATGTAATTAAAGAAATAAAGAAATAAATGTAAGTAATTGAAATAAAATATTAATGAATTTATCACCTCAAGTTTTAATACTGATCTGGCACAACAAAAAACAAAAGTGCAATTAATAAGTACAACAATTAGACAAAGAAATAAATGTAAGTAATTGAAATAAAATATTAATGAATTTATCACCTCAAGTTTTAATACTGATCTGGCACAACAAAAAACAAAAGTGCAATTAATAAGTACAACAATTAGACAAAGAAATAAATGTAAGTAATTGAAATAAAATATTTAATAAATGAATTTATCATCTCAAGTTTTAATACTCATCTGGCACAACAAAAGTGCAATTAATAAGTACAACAATTAGACATAATATTTATATATATAAATTAAACATTGAAAACTAATAAGAACTTGATTTTTATAAATCAAGATGGGTAAAGGGCCCAATCCAATGGGATTATATATTCTATACATTTTAAAAATTCAATTAAATTTGTTTAATCATTACCATTTCAGGACTAAAACATTATTTACAAGGAAAGATGCAAACTCATTAAATATGCTGTATTCAGAAAAAAACAAACTTTAAATAAAAGAAAGATTAATGAAATAATTTCAAAGGTTTAATTATTACTAGGTTTAGTTAACGAGACACCATGTTTCTAATTATCATTATTTCATATATTTTATCACCTAATTTTGTTTTTTATTTTACTATTAGTTTTTCACACAATTTACTTACCCCTCAGTAATCATGTACTACTTATGCAAAACTTTTTAATTAATTCAAACTTGTATATCTATCCTAAATTTTCTTATATATTCTTCACACTCGAAAATATTTAAATAATTCATAATACAAGTAATAATTGCTCAATCAAAAGTTATAGATCAA